GGGGGGTCGCACTCTGCGCCGTCCCCGTCTCCCGCGTCGCCGCCTCCGCCGCCGCCGTCGAACACGCTGTTGTCGCCGCCTTCTTTGAGGGGCGGGCCCCCTTGGCCTTCCGCCGCCGCCGCCGCCGCCGCCGCAGCACATTCCTCTTTCACAGTCACTGAGTCCCGACGGGCAGCCATTTCCGCGAGGAGGGAGTCGGGTGATGACCTGCGGCCGCACATCAGATGATACCTCAATTAATTAGTACGGTCACTAGTGTATTGATATGGTAAGTGCGGAGAAGAGAGATCGAATTGAAGTAAAACATGGGCTAACATGCAATTATTCATAACAGAGTAACGACCAGAAACATGGAATTGTCGTCAACAAATTTCATTAATTCTTTTGGGACACAAACGTTATTCCTCATTCGTCACCTGTCGCGAGGCGTGGGCGTCGGTGTAGGGGTGTGCGTCGGCGTGGGCGTGGGCGTTGGCGTGCGCGTGGGCGCGGGGCTGGGCGTGTGCCTGCTCTGCTGCTGCAGCGGCGTGGGCGGCTGTTGCAGGTGCAGGGACACGGAGCCCACGGAGCCCATCTTGGGACAAGGCGACGCGGGACCCGCGGCGTCCGGTGACGACGTGCTGGTGTCCGGCACGCTCTCGCCTGCAACCACAAGAGCACGCTCTGCTCAACGGTGGCACCTCTCACCGCCACGGGCAGATGCTCGATGGTGGTGGCGGAGGAGAAGTATTGGTGGCGATGACGATATTGGTAAGGATGGGAGTAGTGATGTTGGCAATGGTGATAGCGATGTTTATAATGATGGTGGCGATGGTGATATTGATGGTAGTGATGTTCATAATGATGGTAATGTAGTGATGTTCATAATGATGGTAATGTAGTGATGTTGATAATGGTGAAGGAGGCGATGTAGTGATTGGTAATTGTGGTAATGAATGGGTGTGTACTGTAGTTGCTTTAGAGATGACGTAAGAGAAGGAGATTGGATGAAAAACCTTTCTACAATATTGCATTCATATTGAAGAACGAAATTCTTATATTTCCATCATATTTTCGAAACATGTTTAAAACTGTTCACTGTGAATAGTGACTATTGTTTCAGAATTTGTAAGCATACATCATTCTATTAGTCTTAGAGAATAAGTAAAGGTCATCAAACAATATTTTGGAGAAGTTTCCATTTTCCTTGCAGAGCATATGTTGTGCTTTTCTCTTGCAACTTTTCTACAGTTCTTTCTTTTCTGCGAATTAATCGCAAGGGTTCCGCTTGAGTATTGAGTATTACATGTTTGTAATACTGGCTCTATTGAATTTACTGAGAAGAAATAAACTAATTTAATAAAGGAAAAAATTCACTGGAGGATCGACGTTTCAAGTTTTAAAAGAAATAAAAAGTGAGAAAACGATTGCCGAGAACATTTGTAGGATGTGTAGTTGGTTGCATACTTTGAATGTGAGGAAGGGAGTATATTTTTTTTTGTAGTATATTAAACACTCGCACGCATATTTTGAGTTGAAAAAGCATATGACTTCTTTGAGTGATCTTTGAGTCCGGTGAATAAATTAATGAGTCAATTTTTTGATTAAAAGATAGTATATACACTTCTTGATCCTATTAGTGAATATTTACATTTGTATATAATAAAATTTGTTAAATCCCTTCCGGTTCTGAGTAACGGGTACAGGTGTATTTCCGAACATAACGTAAATTTCATAAAATCACAAACCCTAACGAGATAAGTATTGCCGCCTGATTATTCATTCTGTAACTACCGTTTGAGGTAACTGATTAATATTAATTGAGTTGGGCATTTAATCAACGCGATTAGTTCAAATAATCTCAAAATGGCAAGATAAGTTGTTTTTCGGTAAAATTTAGTTATCAACAGGATATTTATTATAAAACATTATTACAGACATAACGGTCGCCAGGTACAAGATTGCGAGTATTCCCACGCCACCTGCACTAATCTTGAAAATCTATGAAACAAAATTAATAGAAATTAATTCTGACGTGTGTGCAATGTTACAAGTCTAAAGAACCTCAAACAATGAATTTATGACCGAAAATTCGAATGCGTATTGCGCAGACAAGTCCAATAATTTCCATCATAGTAGCACAACAAAAAATAAAAGGGGAATAAACATTTTATGACAAGAAAAAAGAAGGAAGAGTCATTTAAATACGAATTGTATCATGAAAACAATTATATAATTTCGTTTCGAAGTCTGTTAAAAAGGAAGAAGATTGGCGAGAGACGATTTGGCCTGACGTTGGTGGGTAAAGGTTAGGCTGCAGTGGTATTCGCACTCGTAAAAAGGGAAATAGAGAAGCAACCAGCTTAGCAGTCACGCGCGGCAGGTTGCATCATCAACGCGCCTGGCACTGAGCCAGCTGTCGGATGGGCAGCGCACAAACAATTAGTATTACCGTATAATTCTGCGTTAAGGCGTGTCCATCGAGGATATTGTGAGGAGGATGATCAACAAATATAAAGTACGCTATATAATATATATATATATATATATATATATATATATATATATATGGATCTTATCAGAGACAGGTACACGCAAAAACTTACAATTCCTTTTGCCTTTAAGCAGATAGGATGGCTTTCGCAAGATATTGATTTGATGTCATGCTAAACTGATAAAATAACATTCCATTTTTACATAGCTCTACGGGTCATACACACCAAAACATCCATTTCCAATTTTAGACAAGAATGTAAATCCTTGATTCCGCTAATGAATCTCATCCGACCATCATTGTGATCTCAACGAGCAAGTCTAGCAGCTGCGGATGTTTCGGAATAATGCAGCCATCGTGAGTAACAAATCTACGCAAAACTCGTTTCATATTACGCATCGCGAAAATTTTAATACTTTTATATTCAAAATAATAATAGTAATAGATTACACAGGGAACTACTAAAATATGTTTTCTGGAAAAGGAATTATTAGAGTTCACGTCAACATACATTTGCTTTAGTCTCTCTATGAATTCTAAAGAGAAATTGAATAATCCATTACAATTTTAACGTTATCAGTTATTTGCTCATTTTTAACATTTAGAGCGGCTGCTAATTTCGAACGTCTCAGATACTCGTAATAAAATTGAATTTGAAATAATTATTAAATAGTAATAAAATCATCAATACTTCGAACACTTAACACTTTTACAAGTTTTTAAGCGTTAAAACACTGATGTGCTTAAAGTAATCCACTAATTGTATAAATCCCTGTGGAAAACGGTTTTGAGTTTAAAAGAACAGTTCAGCTAATACATTTTTCACACTGAAATTTCCCGACGTTTCCCCAATATTACCCTCATTCTTTCACATTCTTACGAATATTCATGACTTTTATTCATTCCTCGCAATTTATCTGTTTAGGCTCAGAAATACCGTATTCCGTTCACCTTGTATTTTCAATAGGAAAAAACATATTCTATTTTCAGTTTGAAGGACCGAGTCTCCGCATCAGCGCTCATGCAGCCAATACAGAACACGAGATAATATCGATAACGTACGAGTATTTACTCAGGGAATGCAATACAAGAGCCCAACCTCCCAGTAAAGCCATAATACTTTCCGCGACAGTTGGCCACCGTGGAGGCGGGCGTGGCCGCTTCCCCCTCGCGCAGCGTGGAGCTACGGGAGCGGCGCGGGCGCGGGCGCGGAAATCCCGTGGCTGGCGCGGGGAGAAAGCGCCGCACGCGCCGCCGCCCGAAAGCGAGCGCGGAGCGCGGCCGGAAACGCTCCGCTCGCCCTCTCGCGCGCGCGTTGACGCCGCCGAGGCAGGGGCAGG